GTTATATAGCACTGTTAGGTGTTCTGGGGATACAAAGAAGAAAGAGAAAAGAATCAACATTAGTTGAGTTGCCTCCAAGCTCCAGGCACTAAATCCTCAAAAATGACCGTATGAAATGAGTGGTGATATCATCTCTATTTCTTCATCTAATAAGTAAGAACCAACATTGTCCCTGCCCCTAAAAGTTTATAATTTAATTGATAATACATGCTCATAAATGGAATATAGACTATTAGAATATAGTATACTACAGTGAGATATTCATGGTTCAGATGCTACTAGAACTAAAAGGAGGCAAATAATCATTTTTTGAGTCCTTACTATGAGCATAAAGGAAGAAGTGATCTTTTTCTGAATACAATTTCAAGGGAAACTTTGATGATGCAAGTAGGGTATTGCAGAGCAAAAGAGGTCTTATGAAATGGGAATGGAAGATAGGGCACTTCGGTATAAGCAAAAGCACTGGAGACAGAAAAATTCAAGAACTGTTTTGGGGATACAGATCAAGCATTTGGCTGAAATAAATCTGTAAAGTAGAAAGTTAAGAACTAATTTGTAAACTACTATGAAAGTAGTTTGAGATCAGACCACGAAGATCCTGGAATGCAATGCCTACCTAAGGAATTTTAGTAAATGGAAACCATTAGCTGTTTTTTAAGAAGTGGACCAATATAAGCAAGTCTTTTAAGTAGGTATATATGGGAGATAGTCTCGTTTACCACTTAAAAGACTGGCATATTGACAGACTGCTGTAACCAAGTAATCCTACCCTTTGAACTAATAAGGCAGTCAGCTGTCCGTGCTCCACTCCATACCCTCACTAGCTACTGTCTACTCAACCTAGGAAACTTTCCATATTCTACTTTTTTTTGAGTCACCCTGACTCTATTATGAATTTTACACAAACCTGGGTATCTTTCGCATATTTAGATGTAAAAAATAGTATACCAGAAGGTGTTTCATAATTATGAATTTTACACAACTCTATTATGAATTTTACACAAACCTGGGTATCGTTCACATATTCAGATGTAAAAAATAGATAGTATACCAGAAGGTGTTTCATAATTACATACATTTAAGGAGAACAAAGCTTCTGTTACATTATTAGAACATTATGGTAATGGAACATTTAACCAATTACCAATATTCTCAGATAGGTGGTTAAAAAAAGAATAAATGATATGACTATATCACTGATTTCTCAAGTGGGGTTCCTCAACTAAACCAGAGAATGACTATTTTCTCAATTCTCCCAAGAATGGTACCAAACTAGTACTATTCTAAATACACGGAAGTTAAGTCATTGTATACAATGCATGTCTTGGGGCATTACGGCTTAACTCTTTCCTGGAACCCCAGTTTAAACAGGCTGTAAAATGAAGTAAGACTATTTGCTTACTTTAATAAACTCATAATAAATTGAGAAATAAGTGAAACTGTTTGCAGAATGGTTGTTACTGTATCAAGAGGACCTTGAGTAAATACCTATTAAAAAAACCCAAAACTCATGCACTAGTTTTTATCTCATTTATCTCATCAAAAGTTACTTATCTGATCACTTCTCTATCTGCCTGTTCTTAAATATTTTCCCTAAAAATTTATTATTTCAGTTATTTTGTCTCACCATCCTTTTCAATACTCTACTGCCAGATAACCTTCCTAAACACCCATTTTATCATGCCTCTTTCTTACTGAAAATAAAATGGTAAAAGATAAATAATGAAATAAATGTAAAGCTCTATAACAACTTAACAGGACAGCTTGGGGTAGTACAAAATACATGGGCTTCTCTGGGGAGGGTTAAGCGAGGCTCAGGCTTTTAAGTCGTTTGGGTTCACATCCTAGTCACAGAGTCACTGTGTGCCCTTTGAAACAGTTATCTAATATTTTCCAATTTCCTGTTCCCAAATCTTTAATAAAGAGGTTTATACCTCTCTCAGTTTGTGATGTGGCATTTGTGAAACCCTAGCACAGTACCTGGCACCTAGAAAGGCTGTCAGTTAATACCAGTTAACCTGATATCATTGTAAACTTTCTTGAATTTTGCTACCCACTTCCTTTTCAACTTTGGCTTGATCTTCAGCCTCAACCAAACACATCTCTTCAATGTTCTTGAATTCATGCTCATTTTTCACCCTAAGCTTTTGTTTTGCTATTTTTCTTACTTTTAATCTGCTTTCTTTCTACTCAACAAACCAAACACTACCCATCCTTTACGATCTGGAAGATTCAGACCCAATTCTTCCATTAGACCTTTATCGATTCTACCATTTCATACTGATTTGATTCTTCTTTGAAAGAGTCTAGATGTATTGTCTGTATTAATTTTTTTTACATTTTATCACAAAACTTTAGAGAAGGAAGACTAGTGGTAGGTAGGAGACTCGTTAAAATGCTATTTTATTTCTGGTAGCAAAGTAAAAGTGGAGCACTTTTCTATCTTAAAGACCATCAAAACCAAGCTAAGGAACAGACTACTGAGTCTCTAAAGGTAAGGTATTTGAATGCTGAATATACAAATATACTCACATTTCGACAAATTCTGTTCTTTGAATTTGGATACAGTAGCACAATACTAAATAAGTGTTCTACAAGTAGTAGATATTCAATAAATATTGGATTGACTAATCAAATGGCATAATTTACATAACTTTCTTCAAGGAACTAAAAAAACTATCATGGATTCTCTTTTATCTTTAGATCATTTTTATGTAGTAAGAAGGAAAGTACTATAATTTCCAGTTATGTTTGATCAGTAACCTCAGGTTATATCTGCACATAACAAAATGAAGTTGTAAACAAAATAATTCATATAGAATATTCAGATTTTTTAAAGAAATAATTCAATAATTAATGGAGGCAAGAAGTGATGAACAAATATAAATGTTCAAATATAAAACAAATATAGCATCAAAGCTATTTTCATCTATCAAAGATAATCAGTAAAGAAACTGAAAATTGTACACATCTTCAGTTGAGAGTCCCAGATATTTTTTCTTATCTTTGTTATAAAAATCCAACAGGAATTAAGCTTATTTAACATTTTTCCAAATCAGCAACTTCAGGAAAGTTGTTAAAGAAAATGGCCAGTTCACAATTCATTATAAATACTTAAAGAACATGAATATGAAGGGTAGACATGATTCCCAGAGGAACATTCCATATAACTGTGAGAAATGATATAATATTGAGTGTTTAGTCCCACACTGTACTTAAACCAGTGCTTCTAAAATTCTTCCACTTAAACAGTCCCACCCCTTGACAACATATTGTTATAAAGGCTGGGGAGAAGGAACATGTATCCCGATGAGTAGCATAATCCAAAACCATGCCACAATCCTAAATTCCTCATGCTTTATCTTAAAAATTCATGCTATAAAAAGATATGCCATATTTATTCCTTGGCTTTGCATATCTTGTGATACAAAATCATCTACTCTAAGTAATATATTTGACACAGCTGGTGAAGCACTGACTTAGTCCAGTGTATGTGTATCTGAAAAGTATTTTCCTGGATTATGATACTGGAATAATTTCATTTTATAATGCCAGGGATAAATAATAGTGAAAACTGTTTGACATACATTGAGTACTAATTACATAAAAGGTATTATTAGGTTTTTAATATATATCATCTTAATTTTCAAAATGTAAATATTATTATGTCAAGTGTAATGAAGGAAATAAGGCACAAAGAGATTAAATCGCTATCCCAAGGGAATAAAGCTAATAAATATTAGCCACTTCGTACATAAGTGTTTATTTTACGATTTCATCAATATTCTATTTTTACAAAAATCTTTCTCTGACCTGTGTTTTTACCTTACTTTTCAAGAATTTCATGGAGGTGTACCATGAACAGCCCAATCAATGGCCACTAATGTCTAAAAAGAAACTTTTAGTTAGTGTTACAGCTTTAAGACCGATCAACAATGGATAATGTGAAACCATTTATATTAAAAAGGAAACCAATATCTAGCCACTAAATCGAGTCAATCCTAAGGTCCAAATAAGACTTGGCATTGTAAATAGGATAGGATGTAAATTTCATACACAAAATCCAGACCTGATCCAAAAAGGCAGCATGTAGTGACAGAGAGAACAAGGGCCAGAAGTTACTTAGCAAATGGTAAGTAACCTCTCATTAGCTTCTGTCACTAGTTAGAACACTCACTAGTGTTCTAGCGTCACTAGTGTCACTCAAGTGTCCTTGAGTAAGTCACTTGCCTCTCTGGAACTTACACTCAACATATGAAAGGAATGTGTTAGCAGATTTTTAAGTTCCCTTCCATTCATATCTTTAAGTCTATTCATAGCTTTAATCCCATTCATAGCTTTAATTCCATTTATATCTTTAATTTTGCTGCCCACTCATTTCAATTTCTAAGTTTCCATTACTCTCAGCTAGTATCTTTTTATCAGTTTATTTTTAAGCAATTAGTTTTTTTAAATTTACATTTCTATACACTCAGATATCAGTCTTAGTCCTTCTTCTTAAAATATTTCCTCACTCCTTGCTTCTTAACCACTTCATTTTACAATCTGGAAGTACTGAACACAACAAAACTGGCCAGTAAAAACTGCTGCCTTAATAGTAAGTTTACTCTGAGCCCTACTTAAAAATGTTTATGATATCAGAGGCTACTTCAATGTATTTTTTAAAAGCTTTGGTGATTTGACATTTCAGGTTAAATTATATGGTGTTGTTTTTTTCGTTTTCTGGGTTTTTTTTTTTTTTTTGCGATATGCGGGCCTCTCACTGTTGTGGCCTCTGCCCTTGCGGAACATAGGCTCCGGACGCGCAGGCTCAGCGGCCATGGCTCATGGGCCCAGCCGCTCCGCGGCATGTGGGATCTTCCCGGACCGGGGCACGAACCCATGTCCCCTGCATCGGCAGGCAGACTCTCAACCACTGCGCCACCAGGCAAGCCCTATATGGTGTTTTTAATGTAAATATTTAAGTACATTAAAAGCCATAGGTAAACAATGTCACTAACCATCTTCCAATTTGATTCGCAATCTGCTCTTCTAATTTCTGCAGCTCCAATGTGTAAGCCATTATTCGAGCATTGCACACCATGAGATTCTTAACTGCATGCAAAATCTGGTCTTTCTGAGTGCTCAGAGAAAGGAGTTTCCATACCCCTTCTCGTATTCGAATTTCTAAATGTAGTTTTTCTTGAATGCTGCAGTCCTTAAAAAAAAGAGAGAGAAAAAGCATTTTTAAAAGGTAGCAAAACCCAAAATTATAACATTTCTTTTTACCCCTAATAGATGGAAAATGTACTATCTAGTATTATATTTTTATAATACATTGGGAAAGTAACAAAGTTTTAGTGTATGATAGTATAAAATCTTTTAAAGGCTCTGTGCGAAATCTTAATTTCTTGCTTTATTAGGAAGTCTTTACAATCTACTGGATAAACAGAACAGAAACAAAGGTGAGAAATAATATATATTCTTACTGTAACTGTACAAGGTTGAATAGTGTCCCCCACATATTCCTGTCCTCCCAGAACCTTAGAATGTAACCTTATTTGGACATACTTTTGCAGATGTAATTAGTTAAGATGAGGTCATACTGGATTAGTGTGGGCCCTAAATCCAATGACTGTTGGCCTCATAGGAAAGCCAAGTGAAGACACAGAGGGATACATACAGAACTCCATGTGAAGATGCAGGCAGAAACTGGAGTAATGAGTCTACAAGCCACGGAACACCAAGTATTGCCAGCAACCACCAGAAGCTGGAAAAGGCAAGGACAGATTCTTCTCTAGTCCCTTCAGCAGGAACATGGCTCTGCAGGTACCCTGATTTCAGACTTTTGGACTCCAAATCTCTGAGAGAACAAATTTCTGTTGTTTTAAGCCACTCAGTTTTGGTAATTTGTTATGGCAGCCTCAGGAAACTAATACAAGAATATAATAACCAATGTGAACAATACAGCACATGCATGTATTATGTAAGTTGCACTGTGAGATGGCAAGATGTAACCGATGACACTAAATTAACCAAGGAAAAACTTTCTAAAAGAACAGATGCTGAATAAAGGAACTAAGGTTTAACAGCAGAGAGGTAACAGGCTATTTGTTAGGGTAAGCAATGTAAATAAAATCTCAGAAGCAAGAGAGTGAAAGAACTATGCTAAGAAAATGTCAGAAGCTTTAGCTACCTGGAACAGAGATCTAGAACACAGTTTTTGGATATATTTATTTTAGTTTTAAGAGTCACCATGAAAACTACTGAATCATTTTAGTTCTGAAAGTCTTTCCTTCTGTACAAGGATCTTAAAATGGCCTGGCTCTATAAACAAGTTTCATATGTAACATCAAAATTCTATAAACTGAAATGTATTGTTCTGATTTAAATTCAGTGACTTTTTAAAAACTATAAATCACTAGATACTCTTTAATATACTACAAACTTGTAATAATGCTTCAGTATGTCTATTTCTAAAAATGAAGAGATCATCCTAGCTTCTGCGGTTAGAAAAAGCAAAAAAATGAACGCTAGTTTACCTTTTAACTGGAATAAAATTTATATCAAAAATCTGAATGAATCTAATAACAGAATTTCCAGATATTGAAAGGACAATCTTTTCAAAAAGGAAAGCTGAAAGTTAGAGCAATAGTCTATGATGACCCGAAAAGAAAAACTGCAGATGATTTAGCTTGATTACCCAAATCAATCAGTGTGCTGTTCACACGCAGAAAACAGATCTGTTTAACTACCTCCTGTAATTACATCATGTAATCGCCACATAAAAACCTTCTTTTGTAGTATAACTCAAAACTGATGTACTATATAAATGTAGTCATTTGCTGCTTTTCCTTCTTTACACATGACTGAATTTCAACAACTCCATCTCATCTTTTTATGACTTGTCAGTCCCAAAGTAAATTCTTCTTTAATGTAATTAGTAATCAATTATAAGAATTATCTATGTGACCCATATGTCTATAGAAATAAACTCTGGCAGGCGGGTTAGCGTTGGAGAGTCTACTTAGGGAGAAACTTGAAAGTGGGATGAATAACTTTACCCCACAACTCAAATATAAACGAATACCATCTGGTGCCATTAAATTCAAGTTTGCTTTTTAAATACTACAGTCAGGCAGCCAGTTTAAATACTACAGTCAGGCAGCCAGTTGAAGGACTAGCACAGTCCTTCTTAAAGCAGGCTGCACATTAGAATCACCTCAGGCAGAGAGGAAGGGCCTTACAAAAGTACCTAAGCTTATGACCTACCCCAAAACAATTAGGATCTCTGGAGGTGGAACCTGCACTTTTATTTAAAGCTCCTCTGGTGATTTAGTGCACAGCCACAGCAGAGAACCAGGGCTGCACTACTTGAAATTCCCCAGCCATCTGGAAAGTTGCAACAACCTTTAGAAACCAGTAGGTGGCCAGAGACAACACTAAGGAATCAGTTCGGACTTCTAAAGGTTTCCATCTGGTAAATGAAGATTGTCTTTCTTCACTTATTGATAAAGACTTCATAAAAGTAGAGAGGCATGGGATATAGTGGAGAAAGGAAATGTAAAGTTAGGGTTTAAAAAAAATTACAGTATTTTTAAGATTAAATATTCAGTAAGGAAATGAGATATAGCTAGCAGATATTATATTAGAATTCTGTCCTTTAGAGCAGTGGGCAGCAAACTATAGCCTGGCCAGTACCTGTTTTTGTAAATAAAGTTGTACTGGAGCACAGTCATGCCCATTTGTGTTGTCTATGGCTACTTTCAAGCTACAAAGGCAGAGCTGAATAATTTCAAAAGAGACTGTGTGGCCCACAAAGCTGAAAATATTTACTATTTGTCCTTTTACAGAAGTGGTTTGCTGATCCCTAACCCAGCCAAATGAACATACTTAGTAAACTATGACCTTACCTCCCCTGCTCTACAGTGAGTGGATGTGGATCTGGGAGGGCTGACAGAAGATGGATAAATTAAGTGTATGCATTTTTTTTATTGGAGTATAGTTGATTTAAAATGTTGTGCTAGTTTCTTTTTTTAACACATTCAGGGTGAAAAAAAGGACCATTGTATTAGCCAGTTTTGTGTTCTCCATACAAGTTCTTTTAGTATAGTATATACTATAATACATAGTACACATCTATACTTTACATGCAGAGAAAACATCTCTGGTCAAGCAAACTACTCTAGCCAAGAAAAACATAATGGAGTCAAAGGATTTGTTTTAAGTTAAAAAGGGGTACAAAGTGCTCCTAGGCTAGGAGTGATGCCTAGTGCGAACCACAGAGAGAACAATGATCATGTAATGAGGGTGGCATTCAATGGTGATGCTTACTGACCTCAAAGAGGAAGAGTAGGGAGCGAAAATCATCACTGCCTCAACCATAATGGCAGAGTCAAGACTGACTAGGGCCCGTGACAAAAGCATGTTTCCCTGTATGCATCCCTCTTAGAAGTGTGTGAATTCAAGCCTCCAAGAAGAGCGGAGAATGGGGAGAGAGCCTTCCTTTTGTTATTTCTTCTTCAATTTTCTAAATAAGGGCTTGCTATCAGGTCAAAGAGAAGCCTTATCTCGTAGGTATTTAAAGTCAGGCAGGTAAAAATAAATGGATAGGGCAAGGCTAAGAATGAAACAGATGACTTAAATGTGCAAACTTAGATAATGTAGAAAATGGAAATATACTAGATTTTAAGAGCTAGAAGGGCACAAAGGAAGTACAAAGAAAATGACTTTAGTGTTGGAATTAGGCACTGACTAAAAAAAAGAAAAAAAACAAAAGAAGTTGGGCTGCTGGTAAGAAAACTGTAGTAATTCAGATAGAAACTATCACCCACCTAATGGGTATAGTTAAACCATGTTAGCTAAGAGAGCAAGATGAAAAAGATTGCAGAAGAGTATATACAGTATACATTCTTTCCAAAAGAAATTTTGTGTATTTTAAGAGTTGTTTACATACAGAGAAAAGTCTAGAAGTTGTTAACAGTGCTCATTCTGGGGAATGGAATTGGAGAAAGAATTCTTAAATTCATGTTTCTGTCTATGTTTACTTTTCTGCAATGAGAAAATATTATTTCTCAAATTTTATTTTTATAAAAATTTCAAAAGCTTAAACATTTGTAAGAAAAGGTAGGTGGCTATGCCAACTATTCAGATGAATGGGACAAAAGATAATAACAAAAATAAGTCATCTCTCAAGCATGTATGAGTGCTAGGTACTGTGGTAAGTACTTTAAAGAGGTTCTCAAATTCCAACAAATTTCTGTGATAAGCAGTTTACCATTCTTCAACTGCAGAAACTGCAACTTAGAAAAGACAGGTAACTTATTCAAGGCTGCACAACAGAGCTGGATTTTACCTTAATCTGACTCCAAAGCCAATATTCTATGCTGTGAGTAGTCACAGATGACTCCAAGGTTTGAGTAGAGGTGTTACACTAGTGAGTGACCATCTCAAAATCTTTGGTGCTATCCCTATCTGACGGCAGGTTCATTAGGATCAAAGGAAACACAAAGAGTCAGTGTTAGTCAAGTATAAAATTCTCTTACTGACCCTCAATATTCCCGTTAGGTTAAAACCTATTAATATTTTGCAATTTTTCTCCAAGATCCAAGCAGAAGGAATTCCACAACTCAATTATTTTAATTTGTTGCTGCCTAAGAATCTTTAAGTAATGTACTTTCCTACATGTAAATAATCCAGCCGTTACGTATATTTAAATATTTCTTTTCATTCCATGTAGCTAAACTTCTTTTATGACCTTATCCTCTTATCTCTTTTGTACCATACAAAAACATTTACTGGTGCACACAGCTCAAGAAATATACTTGATCGGCCTCACCAACACCTACATGGTAAGTGCAAGAACCTCAATATCACCAATTCACTAGAAATCAAATTTAAAAAAATAATTAGTACAATCAAAGGGAAACGGAGCAGGACCCTGTGGTCCTTGCCCCCCATGTCCTCAGCCTGCCTTTTTGCCCGTGGAAAAACTTGAGTCAAACGATAAGTTTAATCAGAGAAGTGAGAACATGCAGAAGCAAAGAAAAGCAGTCAAATGGGACAAAACAATAATAATTTAGTCAGTAAGCCAAGTCGAGGGCCTTCAGTTCCTTCTCAAGGGCTATAGGTAATATTCTGAGCCACATCCTGGGAGCTGTCTGATAGGTACTGAAACCCCCAGCAGGTGGACGTTAACTACATGGCGACCAGACTGCG